TTTATAAGGGGCTAATATCCAAAATATATAAAGAACTCATACAACTCAATAGCAAAAAACACTTCACAAATAATCCAATTAAAAATGGACATAAGATCTGAATAGACATTTTTTCAAAGATATGCAGATGACCAACAGGCGCATGAAATAATGTTCAACATCATTAATCATCAGTGAAATACATATCAAAACCACAATTAGCTTTCATTTTATACCTGTCAGGATGGCTAGTATCAAAAAGACAAGAAATAAGTGTTAGTGAGGATGTGGAGAAAATTGAACCCTTGTGCTCTACTGGTGGGAATGTAAATTGGCGCAACCACTATGGAAAACAGTATGGAGGTTCTTTAAAAAATTAGAAATAAAACTACCATACGATCTAGCAATTCCCCTTTTGGGTATTTATCTGAAGAAAATGAAAATACTAACTCAAAAAGATATATGCACCCCATCCATGTTCACTGCAGCATTATTTACAATAACCAAGATACGGAAACAACCTGTGTCCATCAATGGATGGATGAATAAGGAAATTGTAGCATGCACACACACACAGACACAGACACAGACACACACACTAGAATATTACTCAGCCATAAAAAAGAATGAAATCTTGCCATCTGCCAACATGGATGGACCTTAAGGGCATTATGCTAAGTGAAATAAGCCAGACTGAGAAAGACAAATACCGAGTGATTTCTCTTAAATGTGAAATCTTAAAAAAAATAAAAACAAAAAAACCAAGCTCATTGATACAGAGAACAGATTGGTGGTTGCCAGAAGCCCCAAAGGGTGGTGGTAAAGGGGGTAGGAAAAAAGAAAAAGAACAAAGTAAGAGAAGGTACTTCTTTATACTCTTAAAGGCCACAGCATTAACTTCATCCTACCATACCCTTTTATATTCCCCTGACTTTCAAGTGCTCTATTCCTAGAGGAGGGAACTGACCTATTAAGAAAGCAATAGTTGGGGCACCTGGGTGGCTCAGTCGGTTAAGCATCCAACTCTTTGTTTTGACTCAGGACCTCATCTCAGGGTCCTGAAATTCAAGGTGCATCAGGCTCTGCCCTCAGCATGGAGGCTGCTTGAGAAACTCTCTCCTTCTCCCTCTGCCCCTCCCACTCATGCTTTCTCTGTCTCTAAAATAAGTCTTACGGGGTGCCTGGTTGGCTCAGTTGGTTAAGCATCTGCCTTCGGCTCAGGTCATGATCCCAGGGTCCTGGGATCGTGCCCCAGGGAGCTTTTCCTTCTCCCTCTCTCTCAAATCAGTAAATGAAATCTTAAAAAAAAAAAAAAAATCTTAAGAAAGCAACAATCATCTCATCCATCCTCATTCATGTCAGCTATTTTAAATGTTTTGTACTTTTTCTGATAAACTGTTTCTCCATCTCGCCTTCTTCATTATCTTGCATTCTGTGTTCTTGAGACTTCTGTTGAATCATTAGCCATTCAATATTTAGTTTTCTTAACTTCCTTAGAAGTCTAAATAGTAGAGAGAACACTAAGAAGAGAATATCCGTAAGATTAGCATATATAATACAAAGTAGATAATCAGCCCCCTAATAGAGTGGGCTGAAATTGCAGTATAATGTAATATACCTGCACAATTTGTCAAATAGGTGACAAAGGTTAAATTTGGTTGGGGGTGGAGGGGGAGGCAGGTGTCTCAGAGGACCAGACTGGTATGGTCAGTCAAACTATTGCAAGATTTAATTCTTTTTCTTCCCGGTAGTCATCTTAATTGGTGGGCAGCATGTCTGCTGTCAGCGGCTGGCAACTTCCCTGAGAAAGCGTAGATTAATAGTAAGCTAGGTTTCTCCTCTGTTGCTAATTCTAGCCCAGTACTGGAACCAGAAGTTCAATGGTGAAAGCTACAGCCGCCGGATGCCAGCAACAGAACTGCAGGGGCAACCAGACCTTTTTACAAGTGGCACTAACAACCGCACCCGCTCTCCTTCCTTTGGCCCTGCCACCGATCACGTTTTCCATCGCGTGTGCTGATGGAACCGCCAATGCTCTGATGTGGTTTCTGAGGGAAAGCAGCTGTTTGGCCTGATGTTTATTAACACCGGGGTCTCCTATCACTTACGCTTGTGTTTGAAACCAAACACCTTGGCCAGTCTGTGTCGACCAGGGGCGGTACAAGAAGGCACGGTCCATCTTGGATGAGTTTTTGTACTACCACAAAAGAGAAGACAGTCTTATAAAAAAATTAAACAACAATGCTGAGACCCTAAAACCAATGTGTAGTAAGAGGAGAGTCATTTCTCACCAAGTAATTGATTATTCAATCAAAACTGAGGCTGTCTGTAAATATAGATTCAATGCTATAAATAGATGATCAGAAGCTTTTTTTTTTTTCCTGCCCTGGTAAGAAAAAGAATCACTAACCCTACAGATGTGGCTCCAAGTCTTTCTGATAACATTCTAGGACCTGTTTGGGTAATAGAACTGAAAGAACTCTTTTAAAGCTACAGAACTCCTCTCATACCCTCTAAATTGCACACTACGGAGATACATTCTTTACAAGTAATTTCAAGGGGTTCCTTGCATCCTGAAACCCATCCTTAGAAACTGGAAGTTTAAGAATTCACCCACCACCATGTAGTATTCCAAAAAGCTTTATTGTTTCCCATTAATAAAAAATAATATAAAATTCTCTATAGGAAGTATTAACCCATTCATCCCATTTTTTTAGAAAAAAAAAATTTTTTTTTTTAAAGCAAGCTCTGAGGAGCTTGAACTCAAGACCCTGAGATCAAGAGTCACATGCTCTACTGACTGAACCAGTCAGGTGCCCCACATTTCTCTTCTTTTCCAACTTTCTGATCTCTACTAAAAGCTTTAACCAAGAAGTCTTAGGGTTAAAGGAAGATCATTCAATATATTTAAAACTGTTGCCTAGATCCAGTCTGACTGCATGATCTTCTAATTGTGGAGACATGACAATTAGCAAGACCACAGGATTTAGAGACCAGTGAGCTTGGGCTGACCATTGGTTCTAAGTTATTCGTTGTATAACTACTTTACCTAATTTTTTTCAGCCTGCTTTCTCACCTGTAAAATGAATATATTACCTGATAGAGAGCTACTTGGAAGACAAACAATAAAGTAAAACATCTGACACCGAAAAGGCTGAATTAAGACCTTTAGAGACCCAAATCATCAGGACTCCAGTGCCAGAATCAGTCAAGATATTAGTAGAAAACAGAGAACACACTTGAACTGGGTAACTTGAAGAAGGTTTAATAAGGGGACTATTTACAAAGACATGGGCAAAGTTCAGGGGAACCAACAAGGAATAATGGAGTAATCCAGAGCTAGTAGGGGAATAGTTCTATTCCTAGGTTTGAAGGGGCAAAGTGAAGGAGCTAGAAGCTCGAGAGGGCTGCTTAATTAGGAGTCATGGTCTTTGGTAGAGCAACATAGACGATCCCTGTGACCTGGGGATGAGGAAGCCTGGGGAATAAATACCCTGACCATCCTTTCCTCATGCCTTTTGATGTTAAAGGTATTACTAATTGGATCAACACAGCCTGAAGTCAGAGGGCAAAGGAGCCTGTTAATGCAGTCCATACAGGCCAGCCCCTCCAGGGGCACAGAACAGGATGGAGAGCAGCTCTGAAGGGGACGCAGATTTCCTGCACCACTTCTGCCCCAGCGAAATTCAAACTACTAAACTATTAAACACAAAACTTGCATGTATGCTGAAACTGAAGTACCTTCTTTCTATAACTTTTAATTATAAACTTCTGGTTTTTTTAATTTTAAGTAGGCTACACACCCAACATGGGGCTTGAACTCACAACCCAGAGATCAAGAGTCACACAATCTACTGACTGAGCCAGCCAGGGGCCCCCTGAGCTCTTATTATTAAAAGAGGATTTCTTTTCTCAGACTTTCTAGTGTCCCTGCTTTGCTGATGCCTTAAGCACATGCCTAGATGGCCTCTAGCTCAGCCATGAGTGTGGCCCCTGGACAGGAAAGCCTCGATAAACGGGAACTGGTAAGTCTCAAGTTAACTCCCGAATGCTAACTCTAAGGATCTCTAAAGAGATCTGAGCATCCAGAACGAATTTAGAAAGAATCTTAGGATTTTTCTGTTCAGGTATTACTCATTAAGGAATTCAGAAATTGGATTTTCTTAGACTCAAAAAATCCTCTGGTCGTAAAACTTCTTACAATCCTAGTGAATGACAGGAAAGTTTATAGTTTCTTATGAAAGAGAATAAAAGAAATCAGGACATCAATTTCACATTGACATTTTTATTAACGCCAACTGTTTTTTAATTATTATTTTTTTAAAACAATAGCACAAAAATGTTTCAAGGAAGCAGTCTCACAATCTGATGACCTTCTGAAATAGAGTTAAGCCACACCAAATACGAAATTCCTGTTAATAACACAAAACAAATATTTTTAAAAAGGAAAAATAAGAAAGGAAAAAAAAGGAAAAAAGGTAGGGGCAGAGGAAAGCAATGAGGTGTAGTTAAAATTCACTGGGTCAGGTAGGTGAGGCTTGTTAGTAGGATACACTGTTAAAGCAAGGAGTGGCACACACAGGCTTATGGTCTTTGCTGTTCTGTCCAGTCACCGCTAATACTCGGCCGCTGCAGCGGCGGCCACTGACTTCTTCTACGTCCACGGTGAACCGGGAGAAGCCAGTGTTGATACTGCCATGGAGAGGTTTAACCGTTGGCCTGTCGGACAACTACGGCCATTTTGTTTGTTTTTTAGCAGAGTAACTCCTTCAGGACGGCCTGGCTGAAAACCCTTTCATTTCTATGTCTCACCTATATGCATCTCAGGGCTCTTAAAAGTTATCTTAAAAAAGAAAGAAAAAATAATGTATATCAGTTTCTCTTATTTAATGTGGCTATAAAAGATGTTTCCTTATTATTTCTTGATCTCTAAGAAGGACACCGGGGGTGGAGGTTGGGGGTGAACTAAGAGGAAGAATAAACCCAGACCAGGAGAGGTTTGGTTTTTTTTTTTTTTTTAATTTTTTTTTTTTTTTTCCCTTTTGGCCGGGTGGTCACACAGAAGGGAAGGCATGGAGGAAAATTATAATCCTTGGTTCAGATTGAGTTATGCGGAAAATATATCTTCCCGATCAGTCCCCATGCCAAAAACAAAAAAACAAAAACAAAAAAACAAAAACAAAAACAAAAAAACCAAAAAACCCCAAAAACCAAAAACCCAACAAACCCAACAAAACCAAAAAACACTTGGAATTATGCACAGACTCTATGTTATACCAGCTATCAGCCTTTCACGTTTAACCATTCCCAGCAATGGACACTACCCTTGGCTTGTAGGCTGCTTGCAGAACCTACTTCACAAAAAATGTTCTTCACCCAGAAGCCTCTAGTTTCCTTTTGGTAGGTTATAAAAACAGAACATCTGTCATTAACAGGAGAGTGTTAAATACTTTTAACCACTGACAAGGCTTCAGGAAGTTTCACAGTTTCGTTATGCTCTATTTTATTACTATCATATTTACATTTTTACTTTTTATTTTTTATTTTTATTTTTATTTTTTTGCTGAATTGCTGATTTTCCTTTTTCAATAGAATTTAATTCTGGAGTGTGAGCAGGAACCAGTTAACTACATTCATTGTCCAACCCCACTGGTTTGAAAGAAGACTCCAAATTCTTGGCATGTGAATCAGCTGTTCGGTAGCCCCACCTTATCCCCCCAGCAGCCAAGCAGCAGGACCACAGCAGGGGTGTGCTCAGGGCTCACGCTGTAGGTGGTGAGGCTTTTCGCTGAAGGAGGTACTGGTGAATGCTCTCAGCATCTCGCTTTAGCCAAGCAGCATTCAGCAGGATATTTTCACAACACTGCTGGATGGTGCGCTCAGCTGAAGGAGCCGGATGACTCTCGAAGAAAGCCTGGTATAAAACAACCCAGAATGTAGGATCATTACTAGCAATAGTAAGAAGGTACTAATATCACAGGTCATGAAAAAATACCCACTTTCTGTAAAGGATTCAAAAGCTTCAATCATGAAAATTTTACCATTGCCACTCCCAGGCTAAAAGAAAACAAGCAGCTTCTTGGACTTGCATATAGGAATTCTTCTCCAAATATATGCTTAAAATTGAATCGAAAGTTAATAAAGAGATAGAACCTATGGCCTTTCTTTCAGATTCATCATCTAGTGGTTAGTGTAGGCTTCGGAATTAGGCTTGGGACTGAAATCTAGGCTTGGTCATGTATTAGCCTATGACTTTTAGTTAAATTAACTCTTCTGTTTTCTCATTCATGAGAAAATATTTACTCCAGAAGATTAAAGAGAAACCCATATAAACTGTTAACATAATAGTTGGCAGGCAGAGTCCTTAAGGACTCAAAACACATTCTGGCTGCTTCTAATAGAGATTAAATTGTGAAGGATGACAAAACCACAAAGCTTCGATTACTGCTCCACAGACTCACATTTTTCATACAAGACTATTTCTGAGTTTATTATAATTTATCACAAAGCTTATTGATTAAAGATGCAATAAACTATTTTCTAATGAAGTATGCCAAGTTTCACAGAAAACAAAGCAACTCTTGGGGCGCCTGGGTGGCTCAGTTAAGTGTCCAACTCTTGATTTCAGCTCAGGTCACGATTTCAGGGTCCTGGGACCAAGGCCCGAGTCAGGCTCCAGGCTCCAGGCTCAGTGGGGAGTCTGCTTGAGATTCTCTCTCTCTCCCTCTGCCCCTCCCCCCACTCTCTCTCTCTCTCTCTCTCTTAAATACCAACCAGCAAAAGGATGGGGGTCTTTGAACTAGTCATCACAGGCGTAAAAGAGAGAATGACTAATTCATCAGATTAAGTCTAGAACTTTTAGAAATCAATAACCTTATTTTGTTTACACAGATGACAATGGCCCTCGCTCCAAGGCTCCTTAGGGCCTGAGTAAGATACAGGACTTCCCCTCACTCCATCTCAACAAATAGCACTACCATTTACATATAAGAAACCTGGGAATCCTCCTCGACTCTTCCTTCTTCCTCTGCCAGGTATGTTCACAACACAGAGAAGCCACTCAGTAAATATTTGTTGAACTAAAGATTAACAAAATCAAGCCCCCTGAATTTCATTACTCCCTCTCCCCCAAGCTACTTTATCATTCTTGCTTGGAGAGTTAGCATCCCAACATCTTCTCTTCCCTATTCCACACTATTCTCCACATTGCAGCCAGACTGAAATTTTTATCACAAAAATCACATCAACTCACTGTTTATAAGCAATTCAAGGGCTTTCCACTCTTAGGAAAATGTTCATACGGCCTACAAGGCCCTCCACGGTCTGGCCTCTACCTATCTTAACCAGCCTCAGCTCGGCCACTCACTGCTCTTCCCCTCCAAACCCAGTATATGTACTTCTTCTTCAGAGTACTTATATCCTTTACAATAAAGGAACTGTTTGCACAATATACTCTGTAAACTAAATGAAGGCAGAGATCAAGTCTTTCACTGTTTTCTCAAGATCTGAATTCTTTTTTTTTTTTTTAAGATTTTATTTATTTATTTGAGA